CCTCACCTTTTACAAACTATAAGCACTTGGATTAGCACATCAAAGACCAGTCTGCTGGAGTTTGGAATCTACATCTCAAAGATCAGCCTGCCTGGAGTCAGGCATCTACATCCCCAAGATCAGGCCTGGCTTGGCACCTGGGATCTGCGTATCTAAGACCAGCTAGGTTTCTGTGAGACAAGGGAAACTGCCTCTTACAATATACTGAAATCATTTACTGAAGGCAGTTTGAAGGGGAGAAAAGTTCAGTCTCATCCAAGCTAGTCAGGACACACAAAGCAGTTTCTACGGCAGACTCTCACTTAGCAGATCGACTCACCCTAGAACAGAATTCGCAGGGTGTGTTTCTCCTCTCCTTGTCCGACCAACATATAAGCATTCATAATATAAATCATTTTGTATGGACACAGTAAGAAATACTTTAAGTTCATACTTTAAGTTCAAACTCTCCTAGGGCTACCTCGATCTCAGACTGCAGTGCTCAGGCCAGATATCTTTCCTATTCCTAGAAGCAGGATCCTAGTCTTGTCGTTACTTTTGGATCATGACAGCATTTGCCCATGATCAAACTCTTAACCTATAGTTAAGAATCGTGGCACCTTGGCCTGGCCCATCACGATGCCAGGGTAGCACATAACTTACCAGCTTGCCCTGGTTCCATCCAGTCCCACGTCAGGACCCTGCCCTTGGGGTTCTAGGAAATGAGGGCAACTGAGGCTGAAGTTGAGAAAACAGATGCCCAGGAGTGAATAATATTCAAGGCCAATTAAATCCTAAGTTATAAAGCATAATGTTAATGGTCTTCCTGTATCTATACAAAAAGGGCATTGCTTTAAAGTAAACTGTTCATAAGGCATAAGGAGAGGAGAAAGGCAATATAAACTTACAGTATAAGTTCAGTGTCCTAGAAGGATGATTCCTTACAAATTGGTTGGGGAAGAGAGCATAAAGAAGTAGTTACAGACAAAGGAATGGGAGTGACTTGGGAGCATTGTGATGGGTGCAACCTGATAAACCTAAGCTCCTTGTACTCCAACAATCCAGAATACACAGGCCAGCTGTGTTTCCTAAACAGCACCACCCTCTGGACCATCAGCTGTTGAAGTGCAGATTCAACTCCTTGGCTCTGGCTTCTACAATTCCAGCAAGACAGAGAGCGAGCGCTAGTCCAGGGACTCATTTTTGAAGGTCCAAGATTCAGGAGCATAAGAAAATCTAGGAAAACTTTTTCTACTTAATTTGGTGTGGTGTGTTGTGTGTTGTGTATTGGTTCCCCCCAAGTCTTTGGCGACCCAAGGGTCACACCCATATGCCATCTCCTGCTGGTGCCAGTTAATCATTGGCCACCATCCAGATCACATAGTTTGTTCTCCTAGAAGAGAGCAACACGATGCCCACCATAGCCATGCCACCAGATTCCGTGCCAGGCTGTTTCACTCGGGGCGCCCCAGAGGGGGCGGATGAGAGCCCTTTCTGCCCCAATGGATCCAGCCCCAGCAGCTGAAAATCTCCAGAACCCAACCGCCACTATGTCAGGGCTGCTCCCCACATGCTTGGGCCAAACCTCACTACGAGTGATCATATTCCTGGACCACACAGCCACATTCACAGCCATGAGACACATTTTTTTTATAGCACTGTAGCACTGTCCTCCCATTATTCATCAATTTGCTCGAGAGGGACCAGTAACATCTCTAGTCTCTATTGTGAGACTTGTTACTGTGTTTGGCATATCGAAAAAGTCAGTGGTAGTTTGTCAGGCTTTGCCATGTGGGGAAGCTACTCTTGGTAGCTTGCTGAGCTCTCCAAGAGGAGCAGAGGAATCGAATCCAGGTCGCCCAGGTAGGTTGCATGTAAGGCAAACACCGTACCCACTGTGCTATTGCTCCTGCCCTTTTTTTGGTAGAAGAAAAAAAAAAACCTTTTTTTCATATATGTATTTTTTTTAAATGTAGGAGTACTGCTATTTATTCAGCCACTGATTAGCTGATTGAATTGTGCGTGAATTCCACCTTACTTTTTTTCATTTTTTATAATTTTATTTATTGAATCACTGTGAGAGCAGTTACAAAGCTTTTGGGTTTAAGTCTCGGTCATACAATGAAACATCCATACCTTCACCAGTGCCCATTCTCCACCCCCAACAACCCAGTATACCCCATCCCACACCCTTCCCCTACCTGTGGGGCAAATGATTTCCACATTACTCTCTCTCTACTTTGATCACATTCAATATTTTTACTCACCATTATTATTTGAGATTTTACCCCAACACTCAGATCTGCTGAAAAGGCAACAGTAGACAATTTGTTTTCTATTACTGGTTATGAATAACATATGATGTCACGTGGCTGCAGTAGTGGCCGTGCAATTTTGAAATTTCAAAATTTTAACACTTAAATCTAGAGGGATTTCTGCCCAAACCTGCTGGGTTCCGAGATTTGCTCCTGAGTCTCTGGGATCATGGCCGTTAAGCAGCTTGATCAGGAGCCAGAAAGGCCATTCGTGGGCAATGACTTGGGGTCTCATTGGGGTGGGGAGGACAGGACCGGCTCCCCCCTCATCCCGTGAGGCCCAAAATGTCTCGTCACTGGGGGCCTAAACCTGACTGTCCAATGGCCTCTGGAGGATGGCGGCCACCAAGGCGCTTGGGGGAAGCAGGGGGAGGGACAACACCCTTTTCCCCCTGGGGTGGCCCAGCGACAGTAACCTACTGAGGGGTCTGGACGTGTTTCTGCCAAAAGCCACTGGATTTTGAGATTTGTTTGAGTCTCTGGGATCATGGCCATTAAGCAGCTTGATCAGGAGCCAGAGAGGCCATTTGTGGGCGATGACTTGGGGTCTCGTTGGGGTGGGGAGGACAGAACCGGCTCCACCCCCATCCTATGAGGCCCAAAATGTCTCGTCACTGCGGGCCCAAACCTGACTGTCCAGTGGCCTCTGGAAGATGGCAGCCACCGGGCCGCCAGGTGGAACAGACCAAGGCACAAAACCTATTCCCACCTGGGTTGGCCCAGTGCCAGTAACCTACTGCAGGGACCAGACACATTTCTGCCAAAAGACGTTGGGTTTCGAGATTTGTTTCTGAGTCTCTGGGATCATGGCCATTAAGCAGCTTGATCAGGAGTCAGAGAGGCCGTTCGTGGGCAATGACTTGGGGTCTCGTTTGGGTGGGGAGGACAGGACTGGCTCCACCCCCATCCTATGAGGCCCAAAATGTCTCGTCACTGCGGGCCCAAACCTGACTGTCCAGTAGCCTCTGGAGGGTGGCAGCCACCAGGCCGCCAGGGGGAACAGGCCAAGGCACGAAACCTACCTGAGTTGGCCCAGCACCGGTAACCTATTGCAGGGATTGAACGCATTTCTGCCAAAAGCCGCTGGGTTTCGAGTTTTGTTTCTGAGTCTCTGGGATCATGGCCGTTAAGCAGTTCAATCAGGAACCCGAGAGGCCATGCCTCCAATTATATAGCTGAGCCGGAGGTGGTTTGTGGGTGTGTTTCCCACATACCTAACTTTTGGCCATTTACTTTCTTGGTAAACTTTGCCCCAAGTTTTTGGGTGTCTAGCCAAAGGCACAGCAGCAATTTTGGGGTATCTGGAAGTCTGAAGGCGCCATCAGGCTGCTGATGCACTTGCCTCACAGGTACAGATTGACCTGCTGGCAGCACCATACCCCCGAAAAAAATGTTTTATATATTTATACATCATTTTATTTGTGTGTTTAACATCTCATGACTATATATATTATTTCAATAAAATTATTGAATTTAATTTTATTGAAAATATTCAATAATTTTATTGAATCACCATAAGATAGTTACAAGCTTTCATGTTTGGGTTACAATCACAGAATGATCAAACTCCCATCCCTCCACCAGTGCACATTCCCACAACCAATCTCCCCAGTATATCCCCCTTCCCCACCCTCTCCCCTGCCTCTGTGGCAGACAGTATTCCCCATACTCTCCCTCTACTTTTGGGCATTATGATTTGCAATACAGACACTGAGAGGTCATCATGTTTGGTCCATTATCTACTTTCAGCACACACTTTCCATCCCTACCCAGTCTTCCAATCATCAATTTCTTAGTGATCCTTTCTCTATTCTAGCTGCCTTTTTCCCTTCGTTCATGAGGCAGGCTTCTAGCTAACAAGCAATCCTCCTAACCCTTCGTGTTATTCATTCCTACCCATTCTCCATAAGTACCACAACACATTTTATAGGGTTCAAATAGTACGCAACAAATCATAGAGGGAAATATAAATATGCATATATGCATATTTTCAGATATATATACGAAAGCTCACATCACTCAACCTTTAACAACATGTTAGTGATAACCTAAAGAAATAGAACAATCTTCACACTATTTTCTCTATGGATACTTTTTGTAGCATTTTCAGCAGGTTTCCATAACAGACAATACAAAATATGTTATTTACGTTGTGCTTTATGACAGGGATGGATTGGGGCTGGAGATGGAAACACCCGAAATATGGTGGTAGGAAGGTGTAATGATGATGGGATTGGTGTTTGATAGTAACTGTAATCAAATATTGTGAACTACCTTAGCTCTGTAGCACCATTGTCCCATTGTTCATTGATTTGCTCGAGTGGGCACCAGTAATGTCTCCATTGTGAGACTTATTGTTACTGTTTTTGGAATATTGAATACGCCACCAGGAGCTTGCCAGGCTCTCCGAGAAGGACAAGGGAATCGAACCCAGGTTGGCTGCATGCAAAGCAAATGTCCTACCCGCTGTGCTATCGCTACAGCCCTGAGCTACATTATAAAATAAAAATTATTTTTAAAAATATTTGCCGTGTGTGTTGGTGTGTCATTCTTCAGGAAGTTGCCTCCATGTCCCTATTTATTACCTTGCATCTCCTTCCTGAGCTGGCTATTCTGATCATGACTTTGGGGTTGGATGCCTGAATGGAGCATGAGGGAGGCTGAGGTACAGAAGCCCTAGCTAACCAAGCCGTTCTCTTTCTTCAGGGGAGGAGCGCCCCCGGGAATCCCCGGGCCCCACTGAGGCCCAGGCGCCGGCTGGAGGGGAGGCCGGCGGGAGAACGAGCTCCCACTGCTGGAAATGCTCACACGAGCAGCTCAAGAAAGTCTTCTGGGGCGTGTTGGTGGTGCTGTGTGTGTGCTCATCCTGGGCCGGCTCCACACAACTCGCTAAACTGACCTTCAGGAAGTTCAATGCTCCCTTCACCCTGACGTGGTTCGCCACCAACTGGAACTTTTTATTCTTTCCGCTGTACTACGTGGGTCACATCTGCAAGTCTGAAGAGAAGCAGTCTGTGAAACAGAGATACAGGTAGGTTTTTTTTCTCATATTCAACCCTGCTTTCCAGACTAACTTTCGTTCTTGATACCTGGGGTCTACTTTATATGAAATAAGAGATGGCAGCAAATTCCAGGGGTGATCCCAGAACTTCCCAACTAGGGGAAGACTGTAGTAGTTACCTCTCCTTCCTCTAAGGATATATGAGACGTTGGAGCTAGTGGCTCTTGCCTGTAGCTTCCTGTCCTGCCTAGAAGTATTTGCTTTGAAGACTTGTTTACTCATTCCCTTTCCGATCCCAGCCATTGACGCTTTCGGTTGTGTGATTACTAAAAGTTAGACTAGGTCTGACCTAAAGTTTTTTTAAAATTTTTATTAGTGAAAAACCATAAGGTAGAGCTGAAGACTTACAAGTTTTTTGCTTGGGTTTCAGTTATAAATTGATCAGGTACCCATCCCTCCACCAGTGCCCATTCTCCACCACCAATGACCCCAGTATCCCTCCCACCCCCCCTTCCCCCCCATCATATCCTACCTCTGTGGCAGGGCGTTCCCTTTTGTTCTCTCTCTTTTGGGTACTGAGGTTTGCAAAAAAGGCATTGAGTGGCAATCATGCTCAGTCTATAGTCTACTTTCAGCATGTATCTCCCATCATGGAAGGACTCTCCCAACATGCTTTACTTGGTGTTCCGTTCTCTATCTGAGCTGCCTTCTCCCTCAGTATGTGCGGCTGTCCTTCAAGCCATGGAGTGAACCTCTTGGTACTTATCTCGGCTATTCTTGGGTGTTAGTCTCGTATTTTGTTACTTTATATTCCCCAGATGAGTGCACTCTTTCTATGTCTGTCCCTCTATTTCTGACTCATTTCACTTAGCATGATACTTTCCATGTAGTACCACCTGATGTAAATTTCATGACTTCATCTTTTCTAACAGATGCATCGTACTCCACTGTGTAGATGTACCAAAGTTTGTTTAACCAGTCATCTGTTCTCAGGCACTCGGGTTTTTTCCAGATTTTGGCTATTGTGAACAGTGCAGCAATGAACATAAAAGTGCAGATGTCATTTCGACTATATATTTTAGCCACTCCAGGATATATTCCCAGAAGTGGTATTGCTGGGTCAAATAGGAGCCCAATTTCTAATTTTTTGAGAATCATCCATACTGTTTTCCAAAAGGGCTGAACCAGTCAGCATTCCCACCAGCAGTGAAAGTGAGTCCCTTTCTCGCCACATCTGCACCAACACCAGATGCTTTTATTCTTTTGGATTTGGGTCAGTCTCTGTGGTGTGAGAGGATATCTCGTTGTTGTTTTGATTTGCATCTCCCTGATGATTTATGATGTAGAGCATTTTCTCATGTGCCTTCTAGCCATTCGGATTTCTTTGAGAAAGTTTCTGTTCATTTCATCACCCCATTTTTTGATGGGGTTGGATGTTTTCTTCTTGTGGAGTTCAACCAGTGCTTTGTATATCTTTGATATCAACCCCTTATCAGATAGGTATTGGGTGTATATCCTTTCCCATTCTGTAGATTGTCTATTCGTGGGCGTTTGTTGTTCCATATGAATTTCAGGAGTGTTTGATCTATTTCTTTGAAGAATTTTATGGGTATCCTTTTAAGGATCGAATCTGTATTATGCTTCGGGTAGTATTGCCATTTTGACAATGTTAATTCTTCCTATCCATGAGCAGGGAATATGTTTCCATTTCCTCATGTCCTCTTTTATTTCATGGAATAGCGTTTTGTAGTTTTAATTGTAGATGTCCTTTACCTCTTTAGTTAGGTTGATAACAAGGTATTTTATTTTCTGGGGCATGATTGTGAACGGGATTGTTTTTTTCATGTCACTTTCCTCTGTCTCAGTATTTGCATTTAGGAAGGCCATGGATTTGGGGGCATTAATTTTATACCCTGAGACTTTACTGTACAAGTCTATTGTTTCTAGGAGTTTCTTGGTAGAGGATTTAGGATTCTCAAGATATGGTATCATATCATCTGTGAATAGTGAGAGTTGGATTTCGTCCTTTCCTATCTGGATTATTTTAATGTCTTTTTCTTGTCTAATCACTTTTGCAAGTACTTCCAGTACTATATTGAACAGAAGTAGTGATGGTGGGCATCCTTGTCTTGTCCCTGATCTTAGAGGAAGTCCCTTAGTTTTTCCCCATTGAGGATATTGCTTGCCATAGGTTTGTTGTAGATGGCTTTGACTATCTTGAAGAAAGTACCTTCGTAATGCATTTTGGTGAGAGTTTTCATCATAAGCGGGTGCTGGATCTTGTCAAAAGCTTTCTCTGTGTCTATTGATATGATAATATGTTTTATCTTTACTTTTGTTGATATGATGGATTATGTTGATTGATTTCTGAATGTTAAAGCATCCTTGCATCCCTGTGATGAATCCCACTTGGTCGTGGTTTATAATTTTTTTGATGAGTTCTACAGAATTCTATCTGCTAATATTTTGTTGAGGATCTTCGCATCAGTGTTCACCAGGGATATTGGCCTATATTTTTCTTTGTTGGTGGTGTCTTTGCTTGCTTTAGGTATTAGAGAGATACCTGCCTCATAGAAGCTATTTAGGAGAGTTACTGTTTCCCAATTTCCTGGAAAAGCTTGAGGAGAACTGGCAACAGGTCTTCCTTAAATGTTTGGAAGAATTCACTAGTGAATCCGTCTGGGCCTGGGCTTTTGTTTTGGGGAAGACTTTTGATTACAGTTTCTATTTCCTTGATATGAATGGGTCTATTCAGGTATCCCAAGTCTTCTTGGTTCAATCTTGGGAGATTATAGAAATTCAGGAATTTATCCATTTCTTCTAGGTTCTCTTGTTTCGTGGCATACAGACTCTCAAAGTAGTTTTTGATGATCTTTTTAATTTCATTGGTTTCTGTTGTGATGTCCCCTTTTTCATTTCTGAATCGGTTTATTAGGCTTCTCTCTCTCTCTTTCTTTGTGAGTCTTGCTAGTGCTTTTTCAATCTTGTTTATTTTCTCAAAAAATCAGCTCTTGGTTTCATTGATCTTTCAAATTGTTTTTTGGGTTTTCATGTCATTTAATTTCTGCTCTAAGTTTTAATATTTCTTTCCTTCGACCAAATTTGGGTTCCTTTTATTGGTATTTTTCTAAGATCTTGAGCTGTTAGGTCAGGTTATCTATATAGGCCCTTTCTTCCTTCTTTATGAATGCTTTCAAGGCTATAAATTTTCCTCTTAACACAGCTTTAGATGCATCCCATAGGTTCTTGTAGCTCATGTCTTCATTCTCATTTTTTTCCAGGTATTTTTTGATTTAGTCCTTGACTTCCTTCCTAACCCACTCATTGTTCAACATTGAGTTGTTTAATTTCCAGGTGTTTGATTTGTTTCCCGGTGTCTTTGTGTGATTTACTTCTATCTTCAGTGCATTCTGGTCTGAAAATATTGTTGATACTACTTATATCTTCCTGATTGATTCTATTGAGGTATGTTTTATGGCTTATCACGTGGTCTGTTTTGGGAAATGTTCCGTGTGCACTGGAGAAGAATGTGTATTCTTTCTTTTTGGGGTGTAAATCCCTGTATAGGTCCATTAGCCCTCTCTCTTCTATTTCTTCCTTCAAAGCCAATGTTTCCTTGCTGAGTTTTGTTCTTGTTGATCTATCCAGAAGTGATAAGGTGATGTTGAAATCTCTGACTACTATTGTGTTGCTAGCAATGTCCTCCTTAAAATCTGTTAGCAGTTGTTTTAAGCATTTAGCTGGTCACTCATTAATTGCGTATATATTTAAGAGTGCGATTTCTTCCTGTTGTACGTGTCCCTTCATAAAGAGAAAATGGCCTTCTCTGTCCCTTCTAATCTTTTTTAACTTGAAATTTATGTTGTCGCATATCATTATGGCCACCCCAGCTTTTTTGATGGGCTGTTTGCTTGCAGGATTGTTTTCCATCCTTTAACTTTGAGTCTGTGTTTTCTCTGAGATGATTTTCTTGTAGGCAGCAGAATGTTGGGCACTGTCTCTGAATTCATTTTGCCACTCTGTGTTTCTTGATTGGTGCATTTAGACCATTGACATTGAAAGAGATTATTGTCATGGGGTTTCGTGCCATCTTTCGGTAGGGGTTGGTTGTGCTTATAAGTGTTTTCCTTATTATCTTACAGGAGCTCCTTTAATTCTTCTTTTAGATTTGGTTTTGAGTCTATGAAGTTCCTGAGCTGTTGTTTATCTATTAAATGGTGTATCATTCCATTGAGTTTGAGTGAGAGTTTAGCTGGATAAAGTATTCTTGGTGAGGTGTTCAGTTCATTGAGTTTTTTCACTATATCCCACCATTGTCTTTGGACTTGGAGGGTTTCCTCTGATAGGTCTGTTGTAAATCTAATAGGTGCTCTTTTATATGTGATTTCCTTCTTTAACCTTGCTGCTTGCAGTATTGTGTCTCTGTCCACAGCATCCATTGTTCTGACTATGATATGCCTTGAAGTGGTTTTTTTTAGGATCTCTTTTAGTTGGCACCCTTCTGGCTCCTTGGATCTCGATGTCTGCTTTCTTTAACTCTGGTAACTTTTCAGCAATGATCTCTTTGACTGTGGCTTTTTCATTGGGGTTATCTCCCTGTCCTTCTGGTACCCTGATGATTCTATTGTTGTTCCACTTGGCTTCATCCCCTGGGTCTCTGATTCTCCTTAGAGCTATTTTGAGGTCTTTTCCCATTCTTTGTTGTTTCCTATGCGATTTCTGTTGCTCATCTTTAAGCTCACTGATCCCGTCTTCAGCTGTAGTCATTCTACTGTTGAGGGCACCACTGAGTTTTTAATTTCATCTACCGAATCCTTTATTTGTGACACTTCTTTTTGTAGCTTTTTGATTTCTGCTCTCATTTCTTCCTGTATTTTCTCTACTATCCGTTCCAATATTTCTTTAATTTCTTCCTTCAATTTTTTGTATGTCTCCTCCATTGATTCTTTGCAGTAGTTCCTTGAACATCCTCAGCATTTCATCTCGGACTTCTTTATCAGGAGAGCATATTTGTGGGTAACTCCTGTTGA